ATTAAAAATTAAAGATTATAAATTATAATTTATAACTTATTGTTTATAATTTGCATAATTTTTAACCATTTTAATATAGTATGCTAGAAGACTAGCTATTTAATTAGCAGTATATAATTTAATTCTTTCTATTTTGTTATAACTAATTGCTTTAAATAAATCATAAATAACAAAAGCTTTTTGAGTTTTTTTTTAATGCATCCATTGAAACATATGGAAGGTAATTAATAATTTCTTTATAAGCCATTGTTTTTGCTACATTAAGATTAAGTTTTTGATCATTATTTAAAAACTCTTTTACTCTTTGCTTATAACCAATAGCATATTTATATTAGCTTTCTATTACCATTTAATTTGCTTTTGTTGCATGTTTAGAAATATGTCTACTATTAATATATAGTTGAACTAGTAGTAGTATTTTCTCTAAATTAATTCTACAATATATAAGATTATAAAATAATAAAAAATTAAATATAAATTACAATTTTACAATACAAATTATATATAGTAAAATATAAAATAAATATAATATTAAGTAAATTTTAATTTGTTTAACAATTATAATATAAAAAAAATTATATCTTATAATAGTAATAAAAATATAATTTATTTATAATCAGAGTTTTCATCTTTACTATTATACAAATCCATTATAACATCAATTTCATTTCTAAGTTCTCTTATAATTTCAACCACTGTTTTTAATTTTTTTAATACTTTTGAAATAATAGATGTAGTAGTTGTAGATTTAGTAGTTATAAGCTCAGTAATTGTAGACTCAGTAGTTGTAGACTTAATAGTTGTAGGCTTAGTAGCTGTAATAGCTAATATGGTAATAGATGAAGTAGTAGTAGCTATAATAGTTGATATATGAGTTGTAGTTTTAAATATAGTATTAGATGCAGTATCAGGTATAGTATCAGACATTGTGATAGTAGTAATAGATGTGGTTAGGGATAGAAATTGGCTATATGATTTAGTTGACTAAATTAACTATACATAGTAATTTACATATAAATTTTTTAGTCGACTAAAGGTGTTCTCAAGCACCTCACTCAATAGATCGGAGGTAAATTTTTAATTAATCAGAAACTGAATAAATTGATCAAGTGGGTTACCATTCCGATGAACAAATCAGTGAGACCCAAACCACCTTTTTTCTTCA